ACTACACAGCGCAACAACCCAGAAGACAGAAATCTTCATACTCATCGCCCTGATGACGGAGGCAGTATGACCTCTGAAACGTTGGTTAACATCGACCAGACTACACAGCGCAACAACCCAGAAGACGGAAATCTTCATACTCACCGCTGTGAGAACCTCAAGTCTTACATACTCTAAAGATGTTCGTAAAAATCCATGGAAGTCTTCCTGTAATGGGTTATACTATTTAATAAGGTGATTAAACTCTGGGATTTGCATCATATTGCAAAGAGAAATCTTAGTTATGTTATTTTGTCAAGCTTTAACCAAAATTGGAATGTGTCAAAACGTTTTAATAAACGAAATTCCGTTCAGAGGTTCTCGAGTTGGTACATGATGACAGATGGACAGTAAGACAAATATGGTGAAGCTAATAGGCAAGTTTTCTCAATGTTTCGTTCTCACGTTGCATCCACTGGTTCAAGAAATCAAAAATTCTGTCAGTTCAACACAAATGACGTATTTGATGAGAACGAACGTTCAGAAACGGGTTTGCTTCGCCTTGCATTTGAGGCAACTTCTCTGTCGCTGCTACAAGGCGGGGTGGTATCACACAGGCGTACACGTGTTACGTTACACATCTGGACAATACTGTTATAAAGTATGAATAGTGGTCAACTGTTGCTCGTTGTATCGTTAGCCAGAAAAGATAAGTTTCGGAGGAGCATGCTATCTTCGTCTTCAAGGTTGAAGTTGATTTTATACGGCCAAAATACTACACGGCATATAAATCCAAGAAGCCACAATCCTTAAAACTATCAAGTTCTATAGAGAGACACAAACAACAGAGTTGGATGAAGGAAAATGCTATTAAATACAAGGTCGTCAATGATATTTTTTCGTGGTATCCGTGCATTAGAAAGACCTTCATATCGAATTACTCGTTTATAAGATACTAAGTCAATATTAAGACGATAAAATCAAGGATGATTCAATGAGCTTGGGCATGTAGCGTACATGAACGTGATGGGGAATCCTAGGAAAAGTTTAGCTGAAGGGCTTGAAAGTAAGATACAATTTCGAAGACCTAGTAGATAGTAGTTGACTTTTAAAATCGATCTTCGGGGAAATTTCGTAAGTGCGTTTGTATTAGGTTTATCTTGTTTAAAATGGGGCGGACTGCTGTGAACACAACATTGGACCTTGTTTTTTTTTTGTGAAAAGAGTGGGATTCCTGTTTAAGCAGCTGAGCGTACTATGACATTTTCAAGAAGGACTCTGTTTCATGAAGTATGATTATTTATTCAATGTTTACATGTAGCTACCACCTTTATATGTAGAACTAACTTTTCTGAGTGGAC